TTACAGGCATGCAAATACAACAGACATATACGGACACAAGCTCACACACGCATGGTCACTTACGCAATACACATGCAACACAACACGCGACGTGGGGCACTTGCACGCCTCGATGCGTAGAGAGAGCTAGGTAGCTAGAGAGCTAGCTAGATAGATAGTTAGACAGATAGATAGCGGGTGTTAAGCGCTGTACTAAAGCAACATAACTGGGCGACCGTGACGGACTGACGATTACCAGTCAGGCATCAACTGGTAGCATCAGGGACCATGCCCTCTAGACCATCACTGCGCCTCCCCTCCGGTCGCTTCCTCCTATGAACATAACCAGCATCTTCAAATGGGCTACCCCTTGATTGTGGGTGTTAAGTGGTGTGTTAGAGCAACATAGTTGGGCAATAGACTGACGGTTACCAGCCAGGGGTCAGCCAGTAGCGTCAAGGACCATGCCATCTGGACCAATCCGTGCGCCTTCGCTCCAGTCCCCTCTCCCTATGAACGTCAACAGTATCGGCTTGATGCTGATGGGAGAGGGGGGTTGCAACAGGCGACCTCTAGATGACGGCTGGTACGTGGTGTGCTGGGGCAACGAAGCTGGGTGACCGACGGGGTCAGCTGGTAGCATCAAGGACCATGCCATCTGGAGCAATCCGTGCGCCTTCGCTCCAGTCCCCTCTCCCTATGAAAGTCGACAGTATCGGCTTGATGCTGATGGGAGGGGGGGGTTGCAACAGGCGACCTCTAGATGACGGCTGGTACGTGGTGTGCTGGGGCAACGAAGTTGGGTGACAGATGGGGTCAGTCGGTAGCGTCAGGGACCATGCCATCTGGACCAATCCGTGCGCCTTCGCTCCACTCCCCTCTCCCTATGAACGTCAACAGTATCGGCTTGATGCTGATGGGAGGGGGGGGTTGCAACAGGCTACTTTTAGATGACGGCTGGTACGTGGTGTGCTGGGGCAACGTAGCTGGGTGACAGACTACTCCACACGTAAGTAACACCCTTCAAGTCCACTCCATATTGCGCACACGACGTCCCATGCCCGGGTGAACGGAAGGTAAGCACCTCTCCTTCTAAAGGGCAGGGGCCGGAGTGACTGAGGTCAGTAGTAAAACCTGTGTCATCACTGTCATGCTGCCACGGAACGCAAAATGCCTGCTGCTATGGAGTCTAGCCACGTGTCGTCGTGTCTAGACTTCTGGAAGAGGTATTGATTCGAGGCAATTATTGTTGGGGGAACAAAACACCAACTCTTGTGCAAACATATATATTGATTTTTCTCTTTCCTCTTCAGGAGGTGGTCAGTTTAATGTTCCAGATGCTTTACTATTGAACCAATCGAAAACGCCAACTCTTGTACAAACATATATATTGATTATTCGCTTTCCTCTTCAGGACGTGGTCAGTTTCATGTTCCAGATGCTTTACTATTGAACCAATCGGGGGGGGAAGGGGGTGTGCCAGTGGGAGCCATATGTATCATGTATGACCCATAAATGTTTTGAGAACTTTTGACAGGGATTTATTTTTGTCCCTCATAATTTTTCCTTGTGCACTGGGACATACACGACGTCTACCAACGTTTGATAATCTTTTTGTTGTTGAAGCCTTGAAGAAGATGACATCAGCAAATCGAGAAGTGGAAACTCAAACCACCAATACCTTTTGACCCTTCCCTTCCCGGGCCTCAAAACGCAGTTACGGGCCCAAAAAAACAAACCGGCGCAGGCCGCATTTCGGCTTGCCTGCCAGCCATTTCCCTCCAGCTACCGAGTCCAGAAATTTGTGGCTTGCACAAAGGAACCAGGAGCATAACTCCTGTTTGGTTAAGAACGCAATAAATAAATAAATAAATAAATAAATCGGACGACTCGGATGAATATGTGCATTCAATGCGGGTCCAAGAGGGTAAACCACCAGTACCTCCGACAGTCGAGGCGGGTAATGCGCCCTGACGCGCTCAGATGAACAGGCCTGTACTGGAGTGCCCGAATTCATCCACAAGTCGAAACGCTTTCACTTTACTTTTTCCCGCGGTCGAAATATGGCCGAGGTACTGGTGGTTTGAACCACCAGTACTTGGCCCATACATCGGTCGTGGGCCCCTCACGTTAACGCGCCACGACTATAGGGGTCGGTGCACCGGTGATAAACCTCACCAATGGCCTTTGTCACATTTATGGCCTCTTAAAAGTTGCGGTGAGGGGCTCGCGGCCGAGGGTGGGCCAAGTACTGGTGGTTTAAAACGGAGTTTAAACTTCAAGGAGCATAACTAGTATAGTTTCCAACTCTTTCTTTTTACTCTTACCTGGAACAAAAGAACTCCTCCACAGGAATGGTAATTTTCGCTGCATCTGGACCGAAATGTGACCCAAATGCAGCCATAATGACCGTACTTTCAGTTCTATTCGGGCGAAGACGGTAGGCCCGTTGGTGAGCTTTTGCGGTCAATCTCTCAGTCGAGAGTCATTTCTACACCAAGCCCATGTTTTTTCCGAACAGATCACGAGTTCAAATCCTCGTATATGCACACAATTCAGGGACTGACCCCTTCACAGACAACGGATACGATCCACAGGAAGGGATTTAAATTTTAAAAGTTAGAACGGAAAAAAAACCACGTGCGTGTACTGCACTGCTACACAACTCTGTTTTTCAAACTTTTCAGTGTTTTCACATTTCATTCTCTCCTAGTTGAAATCCAGAACTGTTGCCATGTGCACCCTGAGGTTCGGATACCGTTTCCCCCCGCCCTCAAGGGCCTCGACCCCTTTTTCCCTGTATTTTGACCGAGATGCCTGTGGATCTCAATGATCAACGGTCCACCTTTGGTGGGATTGTTCGGCTTCGAACCGTATTTGGAAGTGGTGGGCGGATCATTGGGAACAGTTCTCTGAAGAGAAATGGTCATGGGATAAACAGTGGACGCGCCTGGGTCTAGTCCTCGAGAACATTCAATCCGCCAGAGGAGTGGGGTATGTACCACAGGTCTGTAGCAGAATGCAGACACTACCAGGGCAGGCAGATAAAGAACACAGACACGGAAAAGTCCGACGAACCACAATTCAGTGCCTCTGGAGTGCAGAGAGCCACATTTCTGTTCCTTCAGAGTGCAGACACCATCAAGTGCCAAAAAAAACTTAGCCAACAAGGTAAAGCGCAGCAAGTCAAGGATAGCTCCTGACAGGCCGTAAGCTCAGTGTCGCTTCTCGCCCAAAGGATGCACTCTAAAAGACCAATAAACCATCGCTTCCATCTACAGAATCTACACTACGTCCTCGCAAAGCTTCTTTCATCATCCTCGCCATCTCTTAGTCAAAACCTACATCGCCTCGACGCCTCCCTCCTTCACAATTTACCGTCGAACACAGCTTAAAGCCTTAAAACCTACAAAATACTCCAAGGGGGGGACCACTAACTTCCAGAAATGCCAGAGTCCCTGAGACCTCTCACTCCGCTACTCCGCTACCGCTACAAAAATAACAACTCATGCAGGCGACAGCACAAGAAAGAGAGAAAACTTACACAAATATGAACCATGTCAAATCTCTGATCGCCAGCTCCTTCGCAACATCCCAGCCGTTGATTCGCCAAACCCTTGGTCCTGTTGTTTTGTAGTTGTAGTTGTTGTCATTAAGAGGATAAAAATGGCTCATAGGCTTGCCTCATGCCACACCTCAGCTCCTGAAAGAAACTCTCCTCCTGTAGGAACAACAAATTGCAGTACCAGTGTAACACAGATCAGTGCACGGAGCTGCTGAGCGACTTAAAACGAACTACGACTGACACGTATCGTTAAAAAAAGTGAAGAACAGGTTTGAGTTGAGCCTACACTACACACACACACACAAGGAGACACCAATGAGCGAAGGTCACTCGATCCGTCAACATCCACCCCCCTCCCACCCCCCTCCCAGCATCTAAATTGATCTAACCTCCTCTCCTCCTATCTAGGTTATCTCAGAAGGATGACAAAGAATCCTTCCCAGCATGTCGTCTTTCCTGTTTTTTTCAAAAACGCGGTCATTTTTTCCTGTTCGTGCTGCCCCCATGCTTTCAAAACATTCGCCGAAGGACTTCCGGTGCCAGTGCAGCCGGAAACCGGCCAAACCCCTCGACAGACTGCCACTGTCAGTGTGCACTGCAAGCCCTTCGACACTACTCACTCGATCGCACAACCGCTGCGACACGTTGCATTGCAAAAAGCTGCTACAGCAGCCAAGCCCTGCGATGCACTCCGACAGTGAAGGGGTGCGCACCGCAAAACTATTGTGAAGAGCAGACGGCAGGCGATAACCAGCTGTAACATTGAAACCAAGCTCAGACGAACTAATGCACCACCGCAGCAACACAGAAAAGGTATCGGCGGCAGCTCATCAACTCTCTATTCTACCCGAGCAAAGAGACTTCGCTGCTGAAACACGACATTCATTTCTGCACCAGTTGCATAAAGACAGATTGGCCGAAGCCGCATGCGTGGTGGTCCACGCTGCTCGCAGAGACCAGTTTTGGACGAGTCGGCATGCCGATTTGTCCAAGCTGCTCGCAGCAATTCCAGCCACATGCTGAGCATTCCAATACCTAAATTGATTAGTCGACAAACAATGCAAAACATCAAAGTGATCAAATCCAGGGCTACACTGGACAACGAACACTCACCCACCGTCATAGACACCACTAACTAGGCATGAACACTTCGTTTCAGGCTGCCTCGACTGACAAAACACTAAACCCATAACCGAAAAGAATCGCAGCACATCGACGACTTAAATGATCAGATTCAGCGACCCTACCTACACAGCGGGCAACAAAGACTTCAAAGGACTTCTCAACGACAACAAACACGAGTAATAAGAAAAAAAAAAAAAAAGACAACAAGTACGCGTCTAGCAATGCCAGCTACTGCACTTCCACATGCCGATTGGCAGAACTCTTCACACGGACTCCACTGAAAGCACATCTTGTCGGCGATATTGACTGCAGAGCCATGTCACACACCCTTCTGTAAAAATAAAAATAAAAATTAACAAGTCAAAACACCGACCAGAAACCTCTTTTCCCTCGTAAAAACTTAACAAGCACCGTGGACACGATCATCCACAGAGCCCCCCCGATGGAAAGCACGGTCCTGTCCGCCATCCGTCCACCCACACCCACCGACCCACCCACCAGCAAGCCTTCTCTGAGAATGCCCCTTGATGATGCTCCCCAAAAGCCACAGCCCCTCGTTTGTTGTCCTCTTCTCCCCTCTCTGCCTACAATTACCAGGGGCAGTTCTGTTTGAGCGATAGCGAGCCTTCCCCTGAGAATGCCCTTTGATGATGCTCCCCAAAAGCCAAGTACACAAACCTTGAGAGCCGGCAGGGCATTCCGCATACAGAACCAAAGTTTCCACGACCTAGGTGTCGGTTGCTCCACAGTGTGATCTTTCAGATACAGCATTTCACAACCCTGCCCTGGGAAAGGTCCGGACTCCGGAGCGCTCATCGGGTGTTCGAATAGAGATGCACGCCATTGGTAGTTGCAGCTTAAGAATGATCAGACGATCGCACGCGCATGCCTCTTTTATCACTAGAAGCCAGCCCGTCTGCCCGGTCGCAATACCACGAACAGGACGGCGGGGCATAAAGTCAACAACACATCTGCCCGGCCACAATACCACGAGCAGGGCTAGTTCGCTGCTTCAACTTCCGGAGGCAAGCTGCTGGTCGATCCACTGATGTATCCCAACCGTTCTGACGGCTAATGCTTCCAGCTAGCTCCCACAAAGAGCCACGGCCAGCCGCTTTTGAGCAAACATGACTGTGGGCGCAACTACTCTCTTTCTCTCTTCCTCCCTCAAGCCCGCTCACTCCGAGCCCCTTCCTTGCCCTGGTATAACTGCCAGCAGCTTATTGTACACCTCCCGCGCCGATAGCTCCTCAACCTGAAGAGATCGAAATGAAAAACTTCAGTCCAAAAGAAGAACATACTTTGTATTAAAAGAAGAAAGAAGAAAGAAGAAAGAAGAAAGAAGAAGGAAGAAAGAAGAAAGAAGAAGAAGAAGAAGAAGAAGAAGACGAAGAAGGAGAAGAACATGGTTTGCTTAACTTTGTAGTTTCGTTACACCCCCAGTCTCCGCAGACAAACAAGCTAGCAAAGAACAATGCACACACGTGGCCTTACATCATGGCAGCCAATCTACCGTCTTCACCCGAATATAACGCCCGGTCATTATAGCTTTATTTGGGACATTTTTCAGTCCAGATGCAGCGATAATGACCGCGCGTTCCATTCGGGTGAAGACGGCAGTGCCAGAGCCGGACAGCTGCTACCACAGGAGGAGGAGCTGCTTTCACTGGCAAAAGAAAACCAGGTAACAACTGTTAACAGCAGGTAACATAACCTAGAAAAAAAAAAAAACAAAAAAAAAAAACAAAAAACAAAAAAACAGGTAACAACTGGTAAGAGCATGTAACGTAACAACCGTTAGGAGCTGGTTACGTAGAGGAGAAGAATTCAATGCATGAAGAAAGCATTCAAATGCGGCAAATAATATCCAAAAAATGTGCGAAAAAAGTTGAACGCAAGTCAACGGACCACTCACCACGAGGAGCTTTGACTTGCTGCTCCAGCCCCTCTGCAGTGTCATTTGCGACAAGCGCAAGCCTAGCACCTGTGCCAAGGAAAAGAAGATGCGCATCCCATGACGATAATTTAATTTAGTCAGTTAAAAAAAAAACACAAAAAAAAATACTAATCTGGTTCACCTGAAAAGCATTCCACGATCCAGACCCCAAATTCGAATTTCGGCGTCAAGGTCTCTCAAGCCAAGGGAGGCCAAGTCGAGGACCAGTTCCGAAAGGTCACAGTAGGGTACCTTATGCGTCAAGTCCAACAGGCACCCCCCCGTAAACAGTCGTCACATCCCAGAGGCAAAAGTTGCATTCTGTAGGCAAAAGTCACCTCTCATATTGAAAAGTCATAAGCACTATTAAACAGTCGTCACATCCCAAAGGCAAAAATTGCATTCTATACTCAAAAGTCACGTCTCATATTGAGAAGTCATATTGAAAAGTCATATCCCACAGGCAAAGGACACTTCTCCAGGCAAAAAAGTCGCGTCCCAGAGGCAAGAGTCACATCCCACTCCCACAGTCAAAATTCATGTTCCACAGATGAAAAGTCGTGACTCACAGACCCCAGCAGCAGCACACCAATGAAAATTCGGTGGGGAAAAAGTACACCAGGCCTTGACAACATGCTGAAGCAAGCAGGCTGTGGGCATGTGGTACCAGGCGGGTTCCAAGTCAAGCCAAAGGAAGCAGAGGCTGGGACGAGTTGAGGCTCAGTCCAAGTCGATATAAGGACTGGCCAAACACATTTCAGGAGATGAGGCTCAGTCCAAGTCGATATAAGGACTGGCCAAACACATTTCAGGAGAGATGGGTCATTTATGAGAAGTGTGGAAGTGCTGCTGAAGCACTTGCGCGCTTGGAAGTGCTGCTGAAGCACTTGCGCGCTATCTGCGAGTAACATGTGCGCGAGAGCCCTGCTGGGCAGCGCTGCACGGAGAGGGAAGGTGGCAGCCATAGCCGCATAAGTTAGTGGTAGGGATAGAGCTCAGTGGTAGCGGATGTATTCAGAGTCGAGATTCTCAAGTAGGGAGACAGTAAGCGGAAGACACAGTGAGCGCATGAGAGAGAGAGAGAGAGAGAGAGAGAGAGAGAGAGAGAGAGAGAGAGAGAGAGAGAGAGAGAGAGAGA